CCCGCGGCCGCCTGTGCCCTGCTCCCGGCCCAGGCCTCTGGTGGTCCTGGCCTGGTTTTGCTGGGGGCCTGGCCCCGCCCGGGCATCGGGCATCAGGACATCAGTGGGCCTGCAGCACAGGTGGCCTCTTCCCTTCAGCAGCCTGGGCTGTCTGCTGAATCTGCGCTCAGGAATTACTCCTGGAAGTGCTCTGGGGGGCCATATGGGATTCTGGGAATCAAACCCGGGTCCGCCGCGTGCAAGGCAAACGCCCTATCCACTGTGCTATCGCTCTAGCCCCAGGTTCGAGTTTCAAGATCTCAGTGATGCTGAAATAGAGGCCCCAGACCCCACCCAGGCCTGATATTCTTGGTGTATAACACCACCCCCCAGTCTTATGTCACTGGGAAGACCAGGGGTCTGCACAGGGACCCTCAGAGGCCCGGCCTCAAGCTGGGACATTCTATGTGATGCCCCAGGCTGCCGGGCCCTGAGGAGCGAATATGCAGGGGATTCCTCTCTCTCTCTCAACAGGGGGGCAACTTGCTGACCCTCCTGTCCCCGGGCACAAGGCGTGGCAGCCTGGAAGAAACCTCCAGAGACTCTCCTCCACCTTTGCTTCAGCAGGAGCAGAACCTGAGCGCGGGGCGGGGTTCCCACTCAGCACCCCTGACCTGGCCAGCTGTGGGGGCTCCCAGGCACCCCATGCCTGCCCCAGCACGGCCCTCAGCTCCCAGGAATAGGGGTTGACGCAGGTGGCTGGACCGTCTACCTCTGCCTTTGGCCATTCCTTGAGGTGGCCTTGGTGAGGCCAAGACTGGGGTGGGAGCAGGTATGCATGTGGCCTTCCCTGGGACAACTTCCGCCCAGAGCTCCTCCCTGCAGTGGGCAGTGAGGTCACTTAGGAGGGAGCAACCCCAGATGCTGAAGTCTTCCTGGGAGGGGCCGCCTGGATGCCCCTCTCAGCTCGGTATCTGGTTTGGGGGCCACCTCTGGCCAGGCTTGGTCCGAAGCCCCCTGGCTTCTCTCCCTTAACCCGGAAGCCTGTGCTCCTGGGGTCCCCTGCCCCTCGCCCTGCTTGTGTGGGTAGCTTGGGAACACTGTTACTACTTTCTTTCCATAAAGGCTCCCTAGCCCCCCACTTCCTGGGTCTCTTGGCATCTCTGAGGCCTCGATGTGCCTCCCAAGCCGCCCCCATTATTTTCATTTTGTCTTCCTTCATTTTTTTTCTCTTTTTGGGGTCACACCCAGCAATGCTAGTGGTTTCTCCTGGATCTGCACTCAGGAATTATTCCTGGCAGTGCTTGGGGGACCATATGGGATGCCAGGGATCGAACCCGGGTCAGCTGCGTGCAAGACAAGCGCCCTACTCACTGTGCTATCACTCCAGCCCCTTCTTTCATTCTTGACTCTGGGGTTCCTGGTCTCTCTAGGGCCTTCCCCCACCCCTGCTTGTTCTGGAGATTGACACCCCACCCCTGGCCTGGGACCCTCAGAGGCCTGGCCTCAAACTGGGACATTCTGTGTGACGCTCCAGGCTGCCTGGCCCTGAGGAGCTGGCGTTGGGCAGGCAGGGGCTGGGAGAAGGAGGGACGGCTGATGCTGGAGAGTGGGGTGCAGGCAGGCCGGAAGGGCCATGCTGGAAAGAAGCGGGTGGGGGCAGCTGAGGTGGGCACCCCCACAGGGTCCTCTCTTGGCCTGCGGCTGCGCGGGACCTTCTGTGCTGTTGAGTTGCAGGGACAGACGCCTCAGGGGCTGCGGGTCACTTGACTGTCCCCTGCATCATGTGACCTTTGGCCCAGGCCTGGGCGGTACCATCTCCGGCTGGAGCTGGGCTGGAGGCAGCATCACCCCCAAAGCACCCAGTTCCGTGTGGGCACACCCTGCAGGCTCCCCCCCGCTGACTCTGCTTCGCCTCAGGACCTTCGGGGGGCTGAGGGAATGCGGGGTCTCCCCACCCACCCACATCTAGGCCCGGGACTCAGCTTCTCCTGCTTCCGCTGGTGACTGAGGACGGGTGAGGAGGGGGGTCTCTCGACCCCGTCCGCACACCCAGCTCCTGGCCCTGCTTCCTGGCCAGCTCCTGCCTCCAGCCTGACATGAGGGGGGCCCTGTTTCAGGGTGCGGAGAGCGGGGGGCGGAGGAGGGTCCTGAGCCCTCCCTCTGCCCTCTGGCTGCCCTGTGGGCTTGGGGGCGTCCCCGATCCCCATGTGAGTGGAGACAGGGAGAGCCCCTCGGTGACCCGGCCCTGAGCCCCCCATCCACCCGCCGCTCCCTCCTGGGGGTATCTCAGATTCTCAGACTTGGGTTTCACGGGCACAATAGTCACATTCTCCCGCCCGTCCTGCCGCGCCGCCGGGCCGCTGCTCCCCTCGAGATTGGGTTTCTGTGCCCTGGCGCTCCCCAGTCTTGGGCGGGGTGGGAGTGCCAGGCAGAGGACAGGAGCCCCCGGGGCTGGGGTGCTGCTTTGGGGGCTAGTGCACAGGTTTCTGTGTGGTCACTGGCGTGATCCCCCAAAGGACATCAACTTTAGAAAGAAGCTTCTGGAAACCAGTCTAGCTGGGGAAGGGCGAGGTGCCTCGGGACGACGGTCTTGCACGCTGCTGCCACGCACGGGGTGTGCAGCCAGGCCTCCCCGGCCACTCGGCCTCACGGCCCCCCTCCCCACACAGGGCCCCCGCAATCAGGGCTTGGGTCTGCGCCTGGCCAGCCTGCGAGCACCCTCGCCCGGGGACGCAAGGCCTCTGTTAGGTGTGTGGGCCCTGCAGACACGCGCATCCATCCAGACACACGTGCACACACGCACGTGTGCAATGAGCATCATTAGCGGCAGGGGCCCGGGGACAGAGCGGACTGCAGGGAGGGGGCCAGAAACAGTTCTGGAGGGCACAGTGGAGGCTTGGGGTGCTGGGGTGGCCGCTACAGAGGGTCTGGCGGGGCTCCAAGCATGGAGAGAAATGGGAAGCAGTGCTGCTCACGGAGGTGAACCCCGAGCCCCGCTTGGCAGTCCTGCAGCCCCGCACACACCTCTGCCCCCCTGCAGAGATGTCCTTTCTGGACGCCCCCAGCCCCCCTCCAGCCCTGGGTTTCCGCTCCGAGCAGGAGCCGGCTCTGGGGTGAGGGTGGGGGTCCTCTCCCTGAGCAGGGCGCCCCAGGGCCTGGGCCACACAGCAGCTGGGCGCCTGCCCACTGTGCCAGCCAACCCTGCGGTGCCCGACCCGCCTCTGCCAGCCCAGCCACCAGCTGGCTCATTGTCGCCAAGGAGTGCAGACCCCAGGGGGCTCCGGGTGGAAGCTCCGTCCCGCGGGGGCCGGGTACAGGGACCAGGGGCGCGCGGCTGCAGGGGGCTGCTGGCAGGGGCGATGGTGCCTGGGACCGGGAGATAAAGGGGTGAGCAGGGCTCTCTCCCCGAAGGGGTCTCCGTGTGTTTGTTCAGCTGGTGCCTCCGATAAGCCCCAGGCGGCCGAGAGGATGCGGGAGGGGGCCTCTTCGGTCTCCCCCATCCCGACTGGCCTCAGGCTCCTGTGTCCCTTGGGGCTTGGCCCTTGGTGGGGACAGCACCTGCTTCCCTGTGGCCCGGGGCCAGCGGTCACTCCTGGGGGGCCGGCGACTCCCCCCCACCCCGGGATGATGAAGGGGGCTGTGGAGCAGGGTTCAGGGCGCACGGGGATGGCGCCCCCCCTTGTCCATCTGGGCGGTGGCTCCGGGTGCCTCTAAGATGGCTGCGGGCTAAGATGGCCGCCGGCACCCCACCTGCCCCCCAGCCCAGCCTGCTCAGGAAGGCCTTCCTGCCTGTCACGAGCCCCTGCAGCCCCATTTATCTCGGCGCGGGCGGGCGCTGGCCCACCTCCATCTCTTTGTCGGCTCCCTCCTCGCTGGCCCTGGGCCGGGCTTACGCCTGCGTGCCACCGTCTCCACCTGGCCGTGCCCACTGCTGGGACCCCACGAGGAGCTGGGGGGTGGGGGGGGCTGCCGCATCGGCCCCTCACCCCAGGCCCAGGGAGTCGGCGCCAGGTAGCGGTGAGGGCCCGAGTCACAGTCTGGCCACTGAGGGGCCCCTGGCACTGACAGCCCGGGTCTGCTCCGGGTCTGCCGCGGGCTCATGACTGTTCTGGGAACGGACCCAAGCGGGCAGGTGGGGCCGGGTGCTGCCCCCTGCCCAGTCGCCGGGCGAGCAACCTTGGCTTCTCCTTGTCCACCTCTGTGCACACGAGGCCACCGGCTGAGTGAGCCCCGGGGTGGGGGGTGGGAGGTGGGGGGAGTTGGGAGAAGGCCCCACCCCGCCAGGGTCAGGCTTTCCCGAGCTGACCCTCCTCAGGGACCCCAGGCTCTGCGGGCTGCCTTCGTCCTGGCCCCCAAGCCCAGCCCCCCTCTGCCACCCTCGCACCAGCTGTCGTGCCCGGGCAGGCATTTGGGAGGTCGTCGTGGTATCCCCGTGCACACAAAGCTTGGAGGACCCGGAGCTGGGGGCGGGGGGCTTTCCCAAGCTCCGGCGGATAATTGTCGCAAAAGCCCCCTGCCCCCCACCCCTGGCCCTCGAAGCCCCGCGCACAATGGGCCCTTGTCTGGCTCCTCGGAGCAGCTGTGGCACTGGGGCCCAAGACAGCCCAGACAGGCTGGCACGGAGTGGGCGCGGGCACCCGCGGCCCGGGTTGCCAGGCAGTGCCATAAGCATAAAGGTGAGGTGGGGGCGACTGGGAGAGGCCCCTGGGTGCCGTCCAGAGATCACTGGCTCCTGGACTGTCGCTCCCCGAACTCCCCCACGCCTCTCCCGGGGGACTTGCTCCCCAGGGCTCCTTGGGGCTCAGGTGGGGACAATTAGATCAGTCACAGCTGGGCAGCGGCAGCACCCAGGGAGCCCCTGGGCTGTGGCCTCATACCCCACAGTGCCCAGGACACTCCCCAGAAGGCCGCGGGGCCTTCCCACCCCATTTTCCGGCTGCAGGGGTACTCCGCGGAAGGGTGCGTGGACGCTGGGGTCCTGACCGTGCCCCCCTTCCCCGCCCCTCTGTCTCCTGCAGAATCCGGACAATCAGATAGTTCCAACCAGCAAGGAGATGCGGACATCAAACCACTGCCCAACGGTCAGTGTCTCCGTATGCCCTGTGGCATCCCCACCCCCCGGTGTGGCGCCTGGCACCCCCCTCGCTCATCCCACCCCCTCACCCGCCCCTTCCCTCCTCAGGGCACTTGAGTTTCCAGGACTGTTTTGTGACTTCGGGGGTCTGGAATGTGACCGAGCTGGTGAGAGTGTCACAGAGTAAGTGAGAACCCCGGGGGAGGGTGGGGTGTCCGCTCCGCCATATGGGACACCGCGCTGGGGGGGCGGTGGCCCCCGCGAGCCTCCTGGCCATGCACCTGCGTCCGGGGAGCCGCCCCAGCCTTCCCCGCGGGTTGCCCACCTGCCAAGCCTCACCTGGCTCCCTCTTGCTTCCTTCTGCCCAGCTCCTGTGGCCACGGCCTCAGGGCCCAACTTCTCCCTGGCAGACCTGGAGAGCCCCAGCTACTACAACATCAACCAGGTGACCCTGGGCCGGCGCTCCATCACCTCCCCTCCCTCCACCAGGTGAGCCCCGCTTCCGGCCTCACTCCTGCCTCCCCGACTCATACCCCTGCCCCAGCGGCTGGCATCACTCTGCTCAGGGGCCCATCACCCTGCCTGTCCCTCAGGGGGCCAGCTGAGTGGGAACAGGCCAGGGGGGACACCCGCAGGGCTGGGAGACGGCGAGTCCACAGGAAGCAGGAGCTCCTGGCGTTGGCTGTGTGGGGAGGCCCGGCCAACCGCTTGGTTACGGGGGTGCCTGTCCCGCCCGATCCAGTCGCACCCAGCATCAGAGCTGGGCACTTGCTGGGCCCTGAGCAGAGCCAAAAGGGGGGAGGGAGCAGCGGGGGGGGGGGGGGCTCTGGGGGAGGAGGCGGAGCTGAGGGGTGCAGACAGGACGCGGCCCCGGGACCCGGTTCTGAGTAGACACTGGTGCCCCCTGACCACCCTGCCCCCGCCTAGCACCACCAAGCGCCCTAAGTCCATCGATGACAGCGAGATGGAGAGCCCCGTGGACGACGTCTTCTACCCCGGGACGGGCCGCTCCCCTGCGGCGGGCAGTAGCCAGTCCAGCGGGTGGCCCAACGACGTGGACACAGGTAGGGCGCCCGCCGCCAAGCCCTACCGGCCCACACGGGGAGCAGCCCCCCAAAGGAGAGTCCGCAAGTGGCACAGAGCCCTCAGGGGGTGTGTGGGGACCCCAGTGCCGCACTTCTGTTCTCTGCATGGGGGCAGCTCCTGGTGGAGGGTTCGAGCCCCACCCAGTCTGCCTGTTCAGACACATCTGCAGCCGCCCTGCATGCTGGCGCCGTGTGACCCCCCAGACCCCCAGACATACTTCCTGAGGTGGTCCTAGAAGTCAGAGCTGGGCAGTGCTCTCCACAGGCGCAGGAGAGCCCCCCACCCCTACTGACATCCCATTCCCAGGGACCCTCCACCTCCAGCAGCTGTGAGTGGGAGGGCAGACCGGAGAGGCTGTGTGGGAAGTACTCTGTGTGCGTGTGTGTGCATATCTGGGTGTGTGTACCTGTGTATGTGCATGTGCATGTCTGTGTGTGTGCATGCCTGTGTACATGTGTGTGTGTGTGTGTGTGCCTGAGTGTGTGCGTGTGCATGACTTTGTGTGAGTGTTCCTGAGTGTCTGCGTGTGTGTTCCTGAGTGTATGTGTGTGTGTCTGTGTGCATATGCATTCCTGTGTGTGCGTGTGTGTGTGTGCCTAAGTACATGTGTGCCTGTGTGTGTACCTGCATGTGTCTACATTCATGTGTATGTGCACTTTCTTGAGTGTGCGCGTGTGTGTGTGCCTGTGTGTGTGCGTGTGCACACCTGAGTGTGTGCGTGAGTGCCTGCATGTGTCTACATTTGTGTGTGTACTGTGCGCCTGCATGCGTGTGTCTACATGTATGTGCATGCCTACACGTGTGTGTGTGCGTGCCTGTGTGTGCGTGCATGTGTTTGTGCAGCCTGTCCCCACCCCTCAGACTGGGGCATGGGACCCGACGGCCGTCTACCTGGAAGGAAGGTCAAGGGAAGTGGCTGGCGGGTGCAGCCCCAGGTGCAGGGAGCATGTGCGGGGCAGGCAGAGACCCCCCCCCCCCATGCCGCGCACCCCGGCCGGCCTGCAGCTCTGCCCTCCTCTCCCTCCTCGCTCAGCGCTCTCTCCTGTCTCCTGGCTGTCTGCTCCCGCACCACTGCTGCACACCCCCAGCTCCCCGCATCAGCCCCCCTCTCCCTCCCCACCCCACCCTGGCTGCGACAGATCGACAAATCGCCAATTAGGCAGCCCAGCTGCAGGACAGTGAACAGCTGGGGAGGCGCTGTGCGGCTGCAGGGACAGCTGTGCACAGCTGGTGCCCCCCTGCCAGCTCTCAGGTGGCGCACAGCTGCGCCAGATAACACCTCCGCGGGCGCGGGCTGCAGAGCACCCGCCCCTCCGCGCCTCTCCAACAGCCTGCCTGTCCCTCAGCGCTGCCCCCCACAGCTGACCCCCCCTCCCGCCCAGCCTGTGCCCCGCTCAGCGATGGGGGTTCTGCCCCACCTAGCTCCCAGCCCGGCCTCCAGGGCCGCCCCCTCGTGATCTCAGGTTCTGGACCCCGCTGGTCCTCGGAGCCTTGTCCTTGCCCACCGCCTGCGGGTCAGAGGCCAGCGGCCCAGGGGACGCCCCCTGCGGACGCCCAAAGGAACCAGGTGCTGCTTCCCCACCCTCCTGCGGCAGCCGCTCAACCCGCCCGTGTTGCTGCTTCCTCCCCCCAGGCCCGGCTTCTCTAAAGAAGTCAGGAAAACTGGACTTCTGCAGCGCGCTGTCCTCGCAGGGCGGCTCCCCGCGCATGGCTTTCACGCACCACCCGCTGCCTGTGCTGGCTGGAGTCAGACCAGGTGAGACCGCGGGGGGCGGGGCGGTTCCTCGGCCCCACGCATGCACGCTCACACATGGACACACGCAGGAACACACACGCGCCCAGGAACACCCGCACACGGCGCACGCACGCAGGCACAGGGCCCTGCGCACGCGCATTGCGTGCATGAGCCCCCCCGCCCTGCTCCCCGCGGGTGCAGAGCCTCGGCCCCGGCTTGGAGCGAGCATGTGGCTGCTGGCTTCTCTCCCCTCCTGGGACCCCCGTGGGTGACGCGGACAGGAGCCCCCAGAGGCGCTCGTTCCCTTCTCTGGGCTGCTCGACGGGTTCTGGAAGCAACGGGCCCAGGAGGGGGGGGGCCAGCCAGGAGCCAGCCCTGGCGGCAGGTGCCGCTGTCCTGCTCAGCCCAGGGTACCTGGGTGCTGACACCTACTGCCACAGCCCCACTCGGCCTGCCCCCGGCACCCTCTGCTGTGCTCCCTGTGTCCACCCTGTCTCCAGGCCCCTGACGCCTCCCTCCCCGCTGCCTCCTCCCTCTCCCCTCCTCTTCTTGGGGCTTCCTGGCCCGGAGCCCAGGGCAGCCAGAACAGTCAGGGTGTGGTGGCTGCAAGGGGTGGGGGCTGGGCGCCCCCCCCCCCCCGCCCCACTTTCATGAACTCCAGAGAGAAGCCAAGTTTCCTCAGCCCCTCTTGAAAGGAGCGCAGGAGCTGCCAACGCCTGATTGGAAACAGACGGGCGGGGGGGGGGGGGGGGTGGAGGGACGGGAGGCAGTGTGCAGGGGTGCTGCTGCTCGAACCACAGAGATGGGGCCTGGGCAGCAGGCCGTGCTGCCCGCTGGGCATGAAGGGCTGGACACACACACCTCAGGCACATTGGGGTTGAGGGGCTGTGGCCCACCCCAGCCATGGGGGATTCGAGCAGAGGGGGGCCCTGCCACACACGCAGGGGAGGAAGGTGCTGCTCTAGTCTCCCTGTGAGCCCGTGTGGACGCAGTGGGAGCAGAGGATGGGGGAGCCGCGTGCCCGGCCTCTGGGGTCTGTCCATGGCCTCCCTGTGGGCGCGCCTCAGATGCGCTCACCTTGCTGTTGAGTTGCAAGGTTGATTTTTGTTTTTTTGTGGTTTTTTTTTTGGTTAGGGGGCGGAGAGGTGCAGCACCCAGTGGTGTTCAGGAGCTACTCCAGGCGCTGCACTCAGGATTGACTTTCGGCGGGGTCCAGGGCCCCCGTTGGAGTGCCGGGGAGGGGGTCAACGCAGTAGTATAGTGAGTAAGGCTCTTACTCACTCCGGAAGGTACCCCGAGCCCGCTAGGAGTGTGTCCTGAATGAAGAGCCAGGTGTAAGGGCTGAGCACCACCGGCATGGCCCCCAAAATAATAAATGAAAACAGACTCAGGTTGGCGGGGGGCAAGGCCAGTGCCTTTATTTATTTTATTTTTATCATTGTTATTTTGCTTTTTGGGTCACACCCAGCAATGCTCAGGGGCTACTCCTGGTTCTGCACTCTGTAATTACTCCTGGTGGTGCTTTGGGGGACTATATGGGATGCCGGGGATTGAACCCGGGTCCGCCAGTGCAAGGCAAGCGCCCTACCCGTTGTGCTATTGCTCCAGCCCCAGGCCATACCTTCAGTTCCAGGTGCTCTCCCTGGCCCTTGGACCCTGGGCTCCAGAGCGCAGGGCCTCCCGTCCCTACCTGCCCGCACCCCTGCCTCCCTCTCTCCCGGGCGGGCCCTGACGCCTCTCTCCGGCCCGCGCCTGCAGGGAGCCCCCGGGCCACGGCTTCCGCCCTGCACTTCCCCTCCACGTCCATCATCCAGCAGTCGAGCCCGTACTTCGCGCATCCGACCATCCGCTACCACCACCACCACGGGCAGGACTCGCTCAAGGAGTTTGTGCAGTTCGTGTGCTCGGACGGCTCGGGCCAGGCCGCCGGACAGGTGAGTGCTGGGGCCCGGGAGCCGTGCTGGCCTCTGTCTGTCCCACACTTATGAGTCTGCCCCGGGTGGAGCAGCCCAGGGCTGGCCATGCCCAAAGCCGTGTCCTCTGGGCCTCGGGGTCCGCGTCCCATTTGCTGGGCCCTTTGTCCTGCCTGTCTCTGCTCCCCCTGGTCTGTCCTGACCCCCATGGCCCCTGGGGGTGCAGTGGCCCTGGGTATGGCGAAGGGGGTGCTTTCTGTCGCAGCTACAGGTAGGTTCCCTGGGCATATAGTGTCGGTCTGGACAGGGATCGGGAGGCCGAGCAAGCTGGGCCACCCCTGTGATGGGCCAAACTCCCCCCACTGGGCACTCCCAGATTCTGGGGGTTCCCTCTTGGCTCTGGGCCCTGTCCTATGTGTTTGGGGGAACTTTCAGCACCTCCAGTCTCTGTGGCTCCGTGTCTGTGGGGGCAGCGTCTCAAGCAGAGGGCCCTGGGCTGGGCTCTGGCCTCAGGCAGCTCCTACCAGGAGACTCCCCAGTTTCCTTGCCTGCCCAGGGGTGCAGCCAGAGGTACTGTCCAGGGGCCCGGCCCTTCCCCACAGAGGTTCCTCAGAGCCTTGCCCGCCTCTGCCCTGGCACCGCCGACCGGCAGAGTGGCTGTAGTGCAGCCACCACAATGCTATCTGTAGAGGTGCCACCGGGCCCGCAGTCCGGTGCCCTGCATGTGGGCCTGCAGAGGCAGTGGGAGTCTGAGCCCCAGCAAGACCCCCCGAGGGGCCCTGGGCTGAACTCCAGGGTTCAACTGCACTGGACGCTAACAGGACAGGGCTGTGGCCGACTGCCCACAGCCGCCCAGGCTCCCGAAGGAAGATGACCAAGAGCCCCCCGCCAGCCTCAGAGCTGCGCCACGCGGGCACCCCCAACACCCGGAGCGCCCCCTTCGTGCCTTTGGGCCACAGGTTCACTTCAAGAAGCACCTCCCAGAGCCCAGGGTCCCCTCCTCGCACCTTTCGGAATCTGGAGACCAAGAGCGTGTACGCACCTGATAGGCAAGCACCCCGCGGCTTCCTCAGCTCCAGCCAAAGCCCAACTCAGAAGACCTGTGCCCAGTGGCAAAGGCTGGACCACCCAGACACATTCTTGCTGCGTGCCAGACTCGGGGCCGCCCCCAGAGTCACACTCGGCCTCGTCATCCGCAGCCAGCGAGGCGCCGACTCAGCCCTGGAGCTGGTGGCCCCCAAGGCGTGCCCCAGCCCTTCGGAGCGTGCTGGGAACCTGGGAACCGCTTCAAGAAACAGCCTGGAGGGGCTGGAGATAGCACAGCTGGTAGGGCATTTGCCTTGCATGCGGCCGACCAGGGGTTCGATTCCCAGCAACCCATTTGGTCCCCTGAGCATTGCCAGGAGTAATTCCTGAGTGCAGAGCCAGGAAGAACCCCTGTGCATCGCCGGGTGTGACCCAAAAAGCAAAAAAAAAAAAAAAAAAAAAAAAAAAAAGAAAGAAAGAAAAAAGAAGCAGCCTTGAGAATCCGGGGGTGGAGGGGGTGCAGGGCTTGCCTCCTGGAGGGATCCACTGTGTTGAGGGGCTTCAGGGAGGCTGAGAATCCCTCCAGAACTCCAGCCCGCACACGCACCACTGCCTCTCGGACTGGGGGCAGGGGGGCGCCCACACAAAGCAGGCAGCAGGACTGGCCGCTGGGCCACAGGGCTCTGGACATGCAGCTGACGGCTCTGTCCAGGCAGGCCATCCCAGTGGCCCTCATGGCACATGTGTGTGCCCTGGACAGGGGTGAAGGGACATGAGGGAGGGGTCGGCTAGAGCCTGGGCAGTTTTCTGGGGACTTAGAGCAGGTGTGGGGGAGACGCCCAGCCCTGTTACAGGGGACAGAAGCAGTGGAGGCTACGGGGTCACAGGGGTGAGGAATGGTGGGGGCAAGTTGCTGAAAGAGCCCGCGGGGCCCCCCCCCCCGGAACACAAGGAACACAGACAGTCCAAGTTTGAGCATCGGCCGCAGCCCCTGCAGCTCCCGTCCTTGATGGAACATCTGACTGCAGCGCCTCGGGCAGCCGTGGAGAGGGGGCCGCACCCCTGCAGAAGCCCCCCAGCCACATGTGTGTCGCAGAAGTCCCCTGGAGAGGAGAAGGGCTCCTCGGGGCCTGGACCTGGCGAGGCGCCAAGGAGCCAGGGGCTGGGAGAGCAGCCCAGCGAAGAGGAAGAAACCTGCCAGGCTCTGCCCAGAGACGGAGGTTTCAGCCTGGAGGCGCCTCCGCACCCCAGGCCACCCACCCCAAGGCACAAGATGGCTGGAAGGACAAGCCTGGCGGCAGCAGAAAATCACAGCAAAACAGGCGAGACAGGGCTGGCGGCGAGGGACTCCCAGAGCGGCAAGCCCCAGGCCTCCCCTTGGGGCAGGCTGGTGGGCCCAGGGCGCAGGGCCGGATGCCCGGGGTCCCTCCCTCAGTCTCACCCAGTGCCAGGGGCCCACCATGGTGGGGGACACGGGGCGAGCCGGTGCCTCCCTCTGGCTGGGCACGGTGGTCTATGGGAACGGGGAAGCTGTGGGTGCTTAGCTCGCGCGGCCAGGCTGCGGGCTGGGGGACCTGGAGCAGTGATGTGCCCGCCGGACACCCCTCTTCCCTCTCCCTGCGCCACAAGAGGACCCCCCCACACACACACAAGAGCGACACCCGACAGCCGAGACACCACGCAGAGGCCCCCGGCTGAGCGCGGCCGAGTGGAGCGGCCAGGGCGCGCGTGTCTGTGTGCGATGTGCTTCACGCGTCTATTTATGTTGTTCGCAGCCCAGCGGTAGCGGCCAGGGCAAAGTCCCGGGGTCATTTTTGCTACCGCCGCCGCCGCCAGTGGCCAGACCTGTGCCCCTTCCTATGCCTGATTCCAAATCCACCAGCTCTGCCCCAGACGGTGTCGCCGTGACTCCTCCATCACCTTGTAAGTGGACGATGAAACCGAGCGAGAGCGCACCGCCCACCGCCCACCGCCCCGGCCGCCGGGCACACAGCAGCCCCCCGGCCCGCGCCGGCCTCGGCCGCGCCCGCCAGCACCCACAGCCCCTGCCCGCCCGCTGCTCCCAGCCAGGGCCCCCGGCCCAGGCCCCTCCGGGGGGGCGGGAGGGGGAGCGCGGGGGGCACGCAGGCAGGGGTGCTGGCCGGAGCGGGGGGTGGGGAGGCCCCGCCATGCCATCTTCATGCCTGATTGCTGTTTTTTGGTTTTTTTATTATTTTTTTTTACTTTTTTTCTTTTTTTTTTGTTTTTGTTTTTCTTTTTTTTTGTTGTTTCGTTGTGCCCTCCCCTCCCCCTAAAACAACTTCAATGTGACCACGTGGCAACGCCGCCCCCACACCCTTTTTGCCCCCCTCCACCCCCCAAAACCCATTCTGGGGCCCTCCGGGCCTCTAGAGGTGACCCCTTAGTCTCATTTGATTTCTCCTTCCTCTTTTTCCCCACCCCTCCACTCCCTGCACCCCATTTCCCAGGTTGGACATTCCAGAACCCCAGAACTGGGGTGGGGGGACTCTGGGCCTTGGCTCCATCTCCTTCCCTCTCCCTCTCACCCCTCTCCCCTTCTTCCCCCCACCCCTTCTGTCCTCAAACCAATGACACCTTTTGCCTAGAGGAAGAGAAAGTGTGAGTTGCAGGTCCCAGGTAGACCCGACGTGGGGCCAGAGGGGGGATGCTGGCTGCAGGTGTGGGGGCAGCACTGGGGGTGCTCAGGCACAGGCCCCCTTTCCTCCCCGCCTCACGCTGTCCCCCTGCTTTCTCCCATTTGAGTTCTTCCCTCCACCCCTTCATGCCATCCCCCCAACATCCACCATCCGAGCCACGGTCATGGTGAGGGAGGGGTGGGGGTGGGGCTGTGGACGGGCATGGTGTCAGGATCTGCCGGGCATGGTGTCCCCCAGGGGCCATCTGCATCTATGGAGAGTGGGGGTCGGGGGTCACTCACGGGCCCCCTGCCGGTGCCCCCACCCTCCGACTGCTCGTCCCCACTGGGCTCTGACCAGACAGCCTAGTGGTGCTGGGGGGGGGGCGGGCTCGCTCGCCATATCCCAACGACGGCCATCCCTGAACCTGGGTCCGATGCTGGGGCCTGGGTGAGCCTTCGGAGGAGGCCTGGCTCTCCCCCGCCCAGCCCGACGGTCCCCTCACCACCTGCCTGGGGCGGCGGGAAGAGGTCACCTGCCTCAGACTGTGGGGGGCCGGGGGCCGAGTGTCCCCCGCTCCCGGGCTCCCTCCTGTCCTGACCCCCGGTACTGAAGCCCCGGGCCTGCCAGTGAGGGCTGAGGGCCCCTTGGGCCTCCCCTTCGGGTCGCTCAGAAGCCACGGAAGCCGCTTTCTCCCGACAGCCCCGCCGGGCGGGGGGGGCCCCCCCAGGCCTGGCCTCACGGACCTCCCCCTCTCTCCTGCTCACTCCCTGCAGCATTCACAGCGACAGGCGCCACCCCTGCCAACCGGTTTGTCAGCATCGGACCCAGGGACGGCAACTTTCTGAACATCCCGCAACAGTCACAGGTAGGGTGCGGAGGGGCCCCGGGCGGGCCCCACAGGTAGGCCCCACCGCTAGCAGCACAGGGAGCAGAGCAGGGGCCCCTGCAGGCCCGCCCAGGCCGCCCTCAGGCCCTGGCTAATGAGCTAATTGGATAATTAGCGCTGACTGTCAGGCCTGGGGGAAGGCTTCCCGGGAAGCCCCAGGCCCCTCTGAGAACTAGGCCCACGCTTGCCTCCCTCCTCCAGCTCCTCTGGCACCCCCAGCCCTCTGCACGGTTTGGGTGGACATGGCGAGGTAGAGAGTCCGGCACACGCCCTGAGGCCCATGGGACAGCGAGACTACTGAGACCCCCCACCCTCCCCTGCCTGCTCCTCTGAGGTGACCCCACCCCAGCCTTGTGCTGGAGGTCCCATCTGGACTGTGTGCACACGTGCATGGCCCCCCGTGCACGCGTACCCACACAGGCACATGTCCCCCACGTGCATACATGCCCGCACATACATGGACATGCATGGACACAGGCACGGGCTGGGCTCGCCTCATGCTGTCCTCTGGGGCTCGGGGATAAGGAGGATGGGTGACCCGGAGCAGGACACACAGCGAATCGCAAAAGGCTTCCTGCAGTCCCTGCCTGGGGCCTGGAGCCAAGTTGGGGCCAGAGAAAGTTGGTGGGTGGAAGTTTTGTGTGTGGTTTGAGGTTTGGTAGGTTGTTGTTTTTTTTCCCCCCTTTTCCTTTCCAAACTCCCTTCAAAAAAAAAGAAAGAAAGAAAGAGAGAGAGAGAGAGAGAGAGAGAGAGAGAGAGAGAGAGAGAGAGAGAGAGAAGCAAAAAAACCGAACTTGGTCCAACTTCCAACTTCAGAGCTCCCTGGTGGCGAGGGAGGGGACGAGGCCCGAGGCCGCAGCCCCTCCTGCCCCCGCCCCTTCCCTTCCCCCAGAGTCACGTCGGCCCGTCTGGTTTCCAGGAGCAACCAGACATGATGTAACACCCAGATGAACTTGAACTTGGGGGTGTTGAGAAAAAAAACAATGGCTCCGAGCAGGGGCTGGAGCCAGCCTCCTTGGCCGGTGCCAGGGAGGCTGAGAGAGCCCTGCTGGCAGCGGGCGGGAGGGGTGCCAGGGAAGGGCAGCGGGCAGCCTCCCCTCTGGGCCCTGGGCTCCGCCCGCAGGCCCCACCCGCCCGCCCCAAAGCTTGGCCTGCCTGGGTGCACCCCCTCGTTTGCGCTGGCCACAAACGACTTGCCACAAACCAGCCCCCCTCCCCGCGCACCCCGTTTCTGCTCTAGCTTCCCCCTCACTTTCTCGCTCCCCTGGCATGGACGTGGGGGCCCCCTGTCGAAGTCTGAAGCAGTTCCGGAAAGAGCTCTGACTCCCCCTGGTTTCTGCCCGGGGGGGGGGGCAGCCCCCCGGCAGGCAGGTGTGCGGCAGTGGACCGGAGCCGAACAGGCCCAGTGTGTGGGGCCTCAGGCTGCAGGGCGCTGGGGGTCCCGCAGTGGGGGGGGGGCGGGTGTTTCCACAGTAACCGGTGACTTTAGCTGATCTCAGGAGCACCAGATGGAGAGAGAACAATAGATTGAGGGAAGAAAAGAGAATTTTAGCGATTTTGTCATTCCCTGGGCAAAGCTCTTTACTTAGTTTTAATCAGTTCGGGGCTGGCGCAGGAAGCGGGGAAGGGGGAGCAGCACCTCGGGCCAGACCCCCCAGTCCTCCCTCATCCCAGAACCAAAGGGAGGCACAGGGGTGGGGCGGTGGGGGTTCCCTTTCTCGCCACCTTGGGGGGCCCTGTCTCCCTTCCTGGCTGCAGCTTGTCCCCTGGGTCCCAGGCAGGGAAAGAGCCGCTTGCAGCCCACTGTCCCCTGGGGTCACTGTGGTCTCTTGTCTGGGGGAGGGTCCCTGGCCGGGAGCTTCCGCTCTTTTAGGCCCTAAGCAAGCCCACCTGGCTTGGGGTCCCCCTCATGCAGCCCACAACCCCGGACCCTCCACTTTGCCTTTCACCATGCTGCAGCCACACACACACACACACACACACACATACACACACACACACACACATAGCAGCAGCGTGTGCCCCTGTCCCCCCATCCGTCAGGGGACACACAAAGGAGGGCACAACCCCTGCCGCCTAGGTGATTCGGGCCCTTCCTAACCCGACCCCCCAGCTGGTTTGAGGTGGCTGTGAGTAGTGCAGGAAGGAGCTTGTGGAAGGAGCTCTGTAGGCAAGAGCCCTCAGTTCCATCCCTGGCACCTGAGTACCCCCGACTGTGTCCCCAAGCAACGAGTTGGGCATAGCTTCTGAACACTGCTGGTGTGACCCAAACTGCCCCCCACTGGAATTTTTTTTGGGGGGGCAGACCTGGTGATGCTCAAGGGTCACTCCTGTCCCGTGCTCAGGAATTAGTCCTGGCGGTGCTTGGAGTGGGGCATATGGGATGCGGGAGGTTGAACCCTGGTCAGCTGCCCTCCCCGCCCTGGCCCCCATAGGAACTTTCACACTCAATTTGCTTCAGGTCTGCGGTGCGCAGCTGCCTGTCTCGCTGGCCCTCAGCGAGGTGAGGTCCGTCAGACCGCCAGACCTCTGCTGGGCAGCTCCCGGCTCTTCTCTCCTCTTGGGGAAGCAAGAGTGCTGGGCAAGGGGTAGCCCTGGTCGGGCCCTGAGGGTTCCTGCCCTCGCCCTCGGCACTGGCCGAGACGTTTCCTGCGGCGCTGCCCGAGGCCTGCCGTGGGGAGGCTGCGCCCCCTGCTGGCGGCGGAGGGAAGTGCTTCTCCGGGAAGCCCCGTGACTTCTGGGAGCATCTGGTATCCCCAGAGAGGCGCCCCCTTTCCTGGGCCCGCGAGAGACCCAAGTCTTGTGCCCACCCCGCCAGCCTGAGACCTTGGCCGCGATGATCAGATGGGAATTTCTGCTTTTCATCCGGACAGACAGGGAACACGGCAGAAGCCAGGCCCGCCCCCACCCCCCAGACCCCTCTGGGGACAAAAGCACCAGCCTGGCACCCCCTCCCCCAGGACCCACACAAAAAAACAAACAATTGGAAACGTGGCCAGACCCAGGTCTGTGCCCGCGCTGTGCCAACCACAGGGTCCCGCCCGCCGGGCATGGCGCCCACCGCAAGACCAGCTGGACTGGAGCATGGGGGGCGCGGGATTCCCACAGAAGGGGAGTGCCGGTGGGGCCCTGCCCCCCAGTGTCTCAACACTGCTTCCCATCTCTTTCAGTCCTGGTTCCTCTGACAAGACTGACAAAAAGAAACGACGAAATGAAAAGAAGAGGTTCCGCAAAAGGGGGAGAAGAAATTTTGAGACGGAAAAATCCCCCAGGCCCAGCCCTGCCCAGCCCAGCCCCACCGAAAAGCGAAAATCCGACTTGGCCCCCACTCAGCCCTTTCTCCGCCGCCCGCCGGGCCGCGCCCCGAAGCGGCCCCGCACCTGCCACCAGCACCCCTCCCGGCGGAACCCCCATGTCCACTCGCAGGAGCAGCTTGTACAGATAACGGGGTGCAGCTCCCAGGGCCGCCCCTCCCCCTCCCTCCTTACTGCCTTCTGCCAGGGCTCGCGCCCCCGCCCCACCCTCGGGGTCCCCAGCCCCCGGAGCTGGCCTCGTGCTCCCGGAACGGAGGGGCTTCCGCGCGCCCCCCCCAGCCTGAGCCGCCGGCCCAGTTCCGGGACCCCGACCCCCGCGTCCAGCCCATCGGAAAGGGTCGGATCGCCCTCGACGCTCCCGCTTCCCGCCCGCCCCGGCCGCCGGGAGGTGCGCGGAGAGGCGCCGGGTCCCCCACCCCGCCCCGCATGCCGGCCCCGCGCTCCGCCCCGCCCCGCCCCCGCCCCAGGCGCAGACGGGCCGGTCGGGTCCGGGCCGAGATGGAGCAGGAAGGGGCCGGCGCTCGGGGAGGAGGACCCGGCCGCCCCGCGCTAGGTAGGCGCCCGCCCGGGATGGGGAGCCGGGGGGCCTTCTCCCGGCTCCTCGCCGCGCCCCCTCGGCGCCCTCGGGCCGCGGGGAACCGCCGGGTCCCACGCCATAGGAAGCAGCGCCCCCCTCCGGCACCCCTACCCCCGGGGATGGTGCGGGGGCTCGTCCAGCAGCGCCCCCGGGAGGGAGGGGAGCAGGAGCGCGCCCCGCCGCCTGGCTTGTCTTTCTGTGCCTTACTCCCTCCTCCGCCCGCCTCGCCCGCCCGCCCGCCCGGCCCCTCCGAGTCCGTGTGCCTCTTTCTCTCTCTTAACTGTATGAAAACGCAAAGCACAGGTCAGGAGCCTCCGAGCGAGTCCCCCCGGCTTCGCCCCGCGTGGTGGGCCGGGCCGGGGCGCGCGTCGGCGGCAGGAGCCGAGGGCGCCCCCTGCGGGGGCAGGGCGGGAGCGCGGGGCCCGGGGCGGGGGGAGGGGGGGCTGGCGCTGGAGCCCCGCCCCATTCGCGTGCGGCCTGGGGGCGGGGGTCAGTGGGCTGAGCCGGGACCAGGGAGCCTGGAGGGGGGGCGGGGGGGCCGGGTGGGCCGGGCGTGACGCGCGGTCAGAGTGCAATGATTTTTCAGTTTGGTTGGCTAAACAGGGTCAGCGCTGAGAGGGGGACGGAAGGGGCCCCCTGGCCTGGCCGCACGCGCCCCACCCCTCCCAGACAATCGGGGTGGCGGGCGCGGTGCCCCCCGCCGCCCCCCCTCCGCAAAGGCCGGGGTCTGCGGGCGCCCGCCCCGGCGAGGTCGGCAGCTGCAGGCCAGCTGGGCCGGGCGGGGGCGCCCCTTTCCCGAGGGTCGCTGTGGGGGGCAGGCGCGGGGCCGCGAGAGCGACCGGAGACGTGGGGTCGGAGAAAGGAACCCACACAAATATATCGGGGGAAAATGAACTTTTTTTTTTTTTCATTGAACCAAGTGCAATGCATCAGAGTTTTCCTATCTTTGTATGTTAAGAGATTGTTAAGAAAGAAAATTCTATTTTTGTTGTCATGTCCTCGCGGCTCTGGGGACGCTAAAAGAACCGGGCCTGCCCCGCCGCGCGCGGGCTAACAGCTGAGTGGGGTTTCCTGCCTTGCTTTCGGGCTTTCTTTCTTTCTTTGATTTTTGTTCGTTTTTTTTTTTTTTAATCGCTTTCATGCGTTGACGAGGATGATCTGGGGTTTTTCTGTTTGTTTGTTTTGTTTTTGTTCGTTTCGTCGTTCGTTCTCGGTTTTGGTGGAAGGGCCGAAGGAAACATTCAGTTTAGTTTTGTTCTTTTGCAAACCAACAACACACACACACACAAAACACACACACAACACCCCAACACAAGATCAGAAAGGACAAGGACGAGAGAAATGTTCTTTAAGGTAATGAAACTTTAAACCCCTGGTGCTTCTTACATTATCCAGTACGTTGGCCCCCTGCCCCGACGACTGCGCCTCAGTTTCGGACTCAGTTCAGCCCCCCCCCCCCCCGCACTTGTTAGCGACACGCGCATCCCTGAGTTGGATGGAACCGGACAGCGGCGGGCGCCCGACGGCTGCGCGGCTCGGGCCACGGGGCTCCCGGGGCCCCGTGCCCCCACCTCGACCCCTCCCTGTCCCGGCACCGGGGGGCGCCGCGGGGAGGGGGTCCCTAGCCCTGCCCCGCAGAGGTCGACGCCAACGAACAAACGCCCCTTCCCTCCCGCCCGCCCCCGCGCCCCAAGCGCCCTCCTTTGAGCCAGACGCCAACTTGACCCTCACCAGCATAATCAGGAGCGCGCTCGGCAAGTTGGTAGACCCCCTACCCCGACTCCCCGGCCGCGGCCCCCAGCCCCCTCCGCCCGCCCCCACTCCCACCCCGGCCCCTCTCCGGGGAGCGGCGGCGAGGCTGGACGCCCCAGGACAGCCCCCGCACCCCCAAGCAGCCCGGTCGACTGCCTTACACCCCCGCCCCCGCGCTGGCCGGCCGACCTAGTGCCTTGTTCTCACCCCCGTGCTGGCGGAGCGGACGCCGCGCTCTGGGTCCCAAGGGGCCGTGGCTCAGACGACCCCCCCCCCCGACCGTGCCGAACGGACCCCCCAACCACGACCACCACACACACGCGAGAGAAAAAAAAAGGAGCAATAAAGTCACAAGAACTTTCGCCCCCCAATCGAGACCCGAGGGGCACCCCAGCCCCGCCTCTGCTCCCCGTCCTTCCCCCCTCCGGGGCGCCCCCTCCCCACCTCTCCACCCCCCACCCCCGCAAGCCAGCCTGGGCCAGCCCCGCTTTCGGCCCCTCCCGGGAGATCCGTGCGCCCGACCAGCACCAGCATCGCGGACCGCCAATGGCCGCCCGTCCCGTCAAACAAGTTTCTTCTTAGGCTAAGAAACGCAGTATATACGAGTATCTCTATATATAGTACTAATGGATTTGGTGTGCTTCCCCTTAGCGTCCCGCCCTCGCTCCCCCTTCAGCCTGCCCCCGCCGCCCTCCGCCCCGTCTCTGCACTGAGATGCATAAGAAACAAGGGTAGTTTACTGTCTGTTTGGTTTTCTGGGTTTTCAGTGTCCTAGCGGAATGCAAGTAGGCAGCCAGCCCGTCTGTCCCCGCCCCGCCCGCCCCGCCCCCGTCACTGCGCTTCTGTTATACCATCTCTGCCTGATTCTCCGGCTTCTCCATTGAATGGCTAATGTGTATGTGAAATAAAGAAATAAAGACAAACAAAACGCGAGCGCCCGAGCCTTGCTAGCGCGCGCCACGGCCCAACCGGTTGGGCGGCCGACCTGCGCCTCGGGGTGCGCCCCGTCGGGGCGTCGCGGGTTCCCGGCTGGCTCCCTCCCCGCCCCCCTCGGCGGCTCTCGACCTGCCCCCAGAAAGAAAGGCGGCACCACTGGGTCCGATGACCGTTATAATGAAGAGGGTCTGCGGGAGGGTCCCCGGGCCGACGCTCGCCCTTCCGGACCCCGGGACCCCTTCCCACGTTGCGCCGCCCTCCTGGGTCCCGCTCCCGTGGGGGAGGTTCGCGAACGTCCTGAGCAGGTGCAGCGCGGGGCGTGCGCCCCGTCCTCGACGGCCCCGGGCTGAGTCCCCAGCGCCCCGCGACACCGAGGCGGCCCCGCCGACGTTACCGCACCTCGGGGCTCACGGCGCCTTGCTCTGTCTTGATGGGTCGGCCCATCGCGCCCGGGTGACCGTCGGGGCTGGCTGAGGGCGGCGGCGGCGGCGGCGGCGGGCGCACGCCCGGCTCGGCTCGGCGGCCCGGCCCGCGGCGCGCGCTGTCGTCGGGGCCCCGGGGCGGCGGCCGCTTGCGGGTCCCGGGCGGGGTGGGCCCGGCCGCCAGGGCGGCCGCCTGGTCCCGCAGCAGGCGCACCAGGAAGCCGATGTACTTCATGGCCAGGCGCAGCACCTCGTTCTTGCTCAGCTTCCGGTCGGGCGGGTGCGTGGGCAGCAGCTTCCGCAGCTCGGCGAAGGCGCCGTTCACGTTCTGCTGCCGCCAGCGCTCGCGGCTGTTGGTGAACACGCGCCGGGCCACCTTCTGGGGCTGGTGCCCTGTTGGACGGGAGCGCCACGGTGGGCCGAGGCCAGCGCCTGGATGCCGCCCTCCAGACTCCCCGCACTGACTTTCGTGGCGGGACCCCTCCGAGGCTGAGCTTCCCGGGACAGTGTTCCCTCCAGTGCTGGGCTGGGGACCCTGCAGGGTTCTGAGCGCGCGCATGCGTGGGGGCGCCGCCGTGGCCCTGTGGCCCTCCGCGGTGGCTGTGTCGGGTGGCTCTGCCCTGGAGCTCTTCGGCCACGGGGTGCATTGGGGGAAGCGCAGTCGGAAGCACCTGCGTGTGCGTGCGTGCGTGGGGGTCTGGGTCTGTGTGCACCAGCTGCCCCCCCCCCACACTCACCCTCCGCCAGGTCCAGCTCACAGTGGCTCGGTCCCCTTTTCAGCCGGCTGCTGGGGAAGATGCCGAAAGGTCCTGCCGGCCCAATGTAGAGGCTGTAGGGGGGTGGGGGTCACTAATGCCCGCAGGACAGCGCCCTGGCCCCGATGGCCCCCACCCTGGCCCCCACTGACCTGTTGAGGAAGGGGTGAGGGTGGTAATGCAGGGCCAGCGGGGGCGGGGCCGGCAGCAGCAGCGGGGGCCTCAGGCCACTCAGCCCTGCACTGGCCACGGCTGCCCCGGGGGGCCTGGTGTGGCCCAGGCTGATCACGGGCACACCAGGGGGCAGCTTGGGGGGCGAGGAGTCTGGGGAGCCCCCCTCATCCATCTTTGGGGGCCCAGGTGAGGCTGGTGGGGGGGGTGGGGCAGGCGCTGGGCTGGGGGCACACCCCATCTCTGCCTTCTCAGTCATAGTGGGGCCCGCCTCCGCCAGGGGCCGGGGTGGGCACATGGACCCCGAGGGGGCGCTCGCCTGTGTGAAGAGAAGGAAGCTGGTGGTGGGGGGGAACCAGTGGCCACACCCCCTGAAGACCAACCAACCCTCCAGTGGGAGTGGGGGTCGGCAGTACATCTCAGTGAGTGAGAGCAGGTGGGGTGGCGGGAAGTGACGGAACATGGGAGGGGGGTGACCCTCCACCCCTTAAGGCATGCCAGCTGCATAATGGGGGGGCAGCGAGTGGGTCAAAGGTTGGAGGATTTCAGTTTTCCGAGTGTTCCCGGAGCCCCCAGGGAGGAAGAGGGGCAAAGCAGAGACCAGAGTGCATTCTGGGAAGATCCAACCCAACCCGCCTCCGGGGCCCTGAGACCCAAGCCTGACACCCCTCATACACACCACGTGATGAGTCTATCGGGCCAGGAGTGAAGTGACCCCACCCCCAGGCTCCTCCTGCCTGAACTTGACCCCCCACACCCACTGCAAATGCCCGCCTGATGTCCCTCAGACCCCGTGGCTAACCCCAGGGTTCCCAACAGCCCAGGGCTCACTGCTGCATGCATCACGCCCCAGTTCTCTCTGTGGCCCTGGCTGCCCCCCATGCCCCTCACTTTTATCAGCACCTGCCTTGCAACCTAGACAGGCGCTGGGGAAACTGGCCAGGCCTGCCATATGGCGCAGCCCCCCAGTGAATGAATGAATGAGGTAATGAATGAGTACAAGAGGGCGCCTCCTTACCCCAGTGCTGGTCCCAATGCCTGAGGAGTCGCCTGCTCTGTCCTGGGGTGCCGGGAAATAGGTTCTGGTTCCGGTCAGGCCCTGCGACACTGCCGGCTTCTCTGCTGGGGGTCACCTAGCCACTCTGCAGCCTGTGAGTCGCCCGCCCCGTGGCTCAGCCGCTCCCTCTGCGTCTCTGGCTTGGCTCCCCAGGGCCGCAGCCCACCGTGGCCACGGGTCCCCCAGGGAAAGTGAGAGGCTCCGGCCAGGCCCGCCCTCTCCCCGCCCCTGGCGGCCCGGTTTCCTCCCGCTGGCCCCCTGCACCGCCGGAGGATGCCGGCTGGGTGGAGATAAGGGCCTGGCCGCCTGGCTGCGCCCGCCCGATAAGGAGCCTGGCCGACCCCAGAGGAAATGGACCAGGCGGTGATCAGGGGGCGGCCCGCCCCTGGGGCTCACCTTCCTTCCCTGCAGACACTGGAGGGTCTCCCCACCGCAGCTCCAGCGCAAGACACCCCCAAAGCCAGCAGAGGGGAAAGGGGGCCCCAGAGCAGCCCCGCGCCAGTGTCCCTGGTGCTGCACCCTTTCCGGCCCCGGGGCCTCGTGACCCTGCCTGGTTCCCCTTTTCGGAGCTGCCCCCCCCCCCCCCCCCCCCCCCCCCCCCGTGCAGGCCAGGAAGCCTGCTGGGGGTGGGGGTGTCCAGCCTTGGCAAGGTGGCCTGGGCTCCCACGCCCCAACTCTGCCACCTTTCCAGAGGATGAGGAGCACCCAATGTTGTGGGGGTGGAGGGTGGGGTCTGTTGGGGTGCTCAGGCTTCTAGAATCTTCCAGAGATTTGCTGTTGGCACGTAGGACCCCCATTCTGGACCTCTAGACCACTTGCTCCCACTGGCTTGGAGGTCCCTCAACCCTCACCTGTGCCAGGCCACTGGAGAAGGGATGTTGGCTGATAAGAGGTGGGGGTTTCACCACACCGCGGTGAATCTCTGAACCCCGCTGGGACCTCCTAACTGGAGGGGGCCAGAATGCTTCTCCCCAGCGCCGCGGTCACTCGGTCACTCAGGCTGCCGGGGAAGCCCTGGGCAGGCCCCCACACAGCCCAGCAGCCCTCCCAGCCCCAGGGAGGCCTGAGCCAGGGGGATGCCATCAGGTGAGGGAGCGGGACTGGCTCCCTCCTGCCGGGGGGAGGGGACGCAGTCGCTCTCCAGTGCGCCGCTCCGCGGGGACGGCTCGCCAGGCAGGAAGCACCTGGCCGGGAGCGGGCGCCCCAAGCGCCTGGTTCCGGTCTGGCTTCCGCCACGCCACCGCGGCCCCCGGGGAGGGGCGCCCGGAGAAAGCCGGCGGCGGGGAGGCGCGGCGCGAGGCCACGTGGAGGCTCCGGGGCTGCAGCGGCAACGGCGGGGGCGCACGGCTGCCGCCCAGTGGCCACCTCGGGAAGCGCCGGCTGAGCGTGTCTCCCTGGACCGAACCCACCGCCTGCGGGCCCCTAAAACCACCCACAGGCAGCCTCTCCACTCAGGAAACCGGGGTGGGCGTGGGGAAGCAGGCTGGTCGGGGAGCACGTGCCTTGAAGCCAGGGTTCGCCCCCTCCCACCCCGCCCCTGTAACATAGACAGACAAGTGGCAGGCCGGGAGATCTCTTTATTGCTCAGTCCACACCTCGCTCCGCGGGGGCACCAGGCCCAGTAGGGCTCTCCTTGGGAGTCTCCTGGCAGTCCGTGGGGGTGGCTCCCGCGGCGGCCTGGGGTGTTGGGGGCCTGTGGGAGTAGCAGCAGTGCTCTCCTCGTGGACAGGTGCCCTGATGGAGGAGGGCGGGTGTAAAGGCCGCTACCTCGGCTGGCCGTACATCCCCGGCCGCTTCCCTGCTCTGCGTGCGTGCACATGCGCGTGGAGCCTCACCTCCTTGAACCTCTTGCAGGGGAAGGTCTTGAGGCGCGCAGCCCGCTGCGCCGCCTCTTCCACCGGCTCCTTGCGCTTGTTCTGCCGAAGCCGGCGCCTCTCCTCCATGGCCTCTCTGGCCGCCTTGCCCCTGGACCAGGGGCAGAGCGGGGAGGGACCCCCAGATAGTGTCTGCATTTCCTCCCCCCCCCCGCCCACTCTCCCCGCCAACCCTCCGCATTCTTTCTGCTTTATTTCTGGGCCACACCCAGTGGTTCTTGGGGGGGGGGGCGCGACCCCAGCTGACTTGTTGCTCCAAGGTCTGCTGAGGGGGGGGCACCTGGACCACCCACGTGGCAAGCTCCAAGCACCATCTTACCAACACTTTAATTTGGGGGGAAGGGGAGCTGCGGGAGGGAACCCCAGCCTCAGTCACGTATGCGTGTGCTTTACCCCATCAGGGCCTTCTTACCCTGGCCGGGCACGGGAACGGGGCCCCCAATTGGCCTCGGGGTTGGCCTGGAAGCGTTTGAGCCCTCGCTGGCGGGAGCTGGGATTGGCATCTTCCCGGATGGTGAAGTTGGCCTGAAGTCTGGGGGGCGAGGAGAGGAGAGTGCTGAGGGGAAGCAGGCAGACTGTGACCCTAAAGATAGTCCCGGGGGTAGGAGAGACCTTCCAACCTGGAAGGCGCCCTAGTGTAGCACTGGAGCCAGCTAGCCGGGATGCAAGGCTGTGTCTGAGATTCAGGCGAAGCCAATTTGGAGTGAGCTCTACGGGCCACGGGGCATGGAGGGCCTGAGGGGTGCTGGAAGCCCTGAGAGGCTGTGCAGGTAGAACTTGGGTTTCTAGGGAATAATAGCCTGGAGCCTTGGAGGGCTCCCAGCCCCAGGGGCATTGGCCGAATTTGGCTGCTCACATACGCCCTCTGGTGGCTGTGCCGAGGACAGCAAGGGAGATGGAGGGGGTATGGGAGGGGCGAACTGGGAAGCTCCTCTAAGCTCCTCCTCTAAGGGGCCAGGTGAGTGCCAGGCTACGTCCGGTGAACCTCCCCCAGACTAGGGGCACCCGGCTCCTACGTGGGCTGCACCCCGAGGATGCGGAAGGCCGGGCTGCTCTCGGAGAGTCTCTCTCGTTTCACGGGACACTCCTTCTCCTGGAAGCACAGATCAGAGGTCAAGGGATGTTGAGCCCACCTCCCCCGCACCCCGCTCCCCATAGGTCGACTTCCCCCTCACCCAGCAGCGCATGATATCCCAGAGGGCGGAGGAGGGAGCATCCGTCTTCACGGCGTTCTTACAGGCGTGCGACAGCGACACCCGGAAGCCGGCGTGGAGGAGGGCGGACCTGGGTGTTTCAGAGGGTCATGAGGGGGCAGCCCGAGCCGCAAGCAGGGGTCTCCCCACGCCTGCATCCCGGGTGGGGCCTCACCGCAGCTGCAGGAGACTGGGCGTGCTGCAGTGGATGGTGGAGCTTAGCTGGTCCAGCGTGTAATAAAGCGGCACATCCGGAAGCTCCTGCAGGGGCGACCAGAGGGGCATGGACTGCAGGCTCGTGCGGGACAGGGGGGCCCCTCCATCCCGCCTGGGGCCCCCACCTCTGTGACGACGCTCAGGACGCCACGGATCCTCTCTGAGGTGTGGAAGCGGCCGGGGTTGGTGCTCACGGCGTCCAGGACTCGGCCCACGAAGTCCAGGTCATGGATGGGCTCCGCCCACAGCGGGCCGCCGAGCTGCAGATGGGCACGCGCAGGGGAAGGGGTGGGTGGGGAGAGACGCCGGCCGGGATGCCCACCCCACCCCAGTCTCCCGAAGCCTGCGCACCTGGTGTCGCTGCCCGCAGTGCTCACACTCGGGCCCCACGGGGGGCCCGCAGGCCGCAGAGAACTTGACTCTGTGAAGAGAGATGCTGTCAGGGGGATGCCGAGACCGGGGATGCCTGAGACCTGGGACAGAGGTGGGGGCCCCATCCCTGCCCCTCCTGCCCCCACTCACCGGCCTCCTGCGGCTCCCGCCGCCTTGCCCATGCGTTGCAGGTGGAAGGCCCCACAGCCCACGCACTGGAAGAGCAGCGCCTGCTTGCTGGGAAACGGGGAGACCCTGAGTCCAACAGCACTGTACCCCATCTGCTCCTGCTGTCGGGCCCTTTGGGACCCCTAAGGTGAGCCCATGCACCGTCCCCTCCTGATTCCGGAACCCCTATCCCCTGAGGCGTGGCCACGCTCTGCATCCCTGAACACACAGCCACCCTTCTCCCCTCCTGGCCCCCGCGAACCTGGCTGAGGCCTTAACCTTGGCCTGGCCAGTGAAGACGCGCACGAAGACGCGCACGTAGAAGTCGGCGCTGACGCTCAGCAACGGCACCACAAAGCGCTGGTAGCAGTTGGCGCGGAGGTCCAGGCTGTGCAGGACAATCCTCAGCGCCTGGGGGGCGGGGTAGTGTTAGGGGGGGCAACCCACACCCCTGAACCGCCCGTGTGGCCTCCCCAAGTCCTGGAAGTCCCGAGTCTCGGCATTCTGAGACACGACGAAATCTCACCATTTCGTGGCAGGCGCGGCTCTTGAGGGCCATGGCTCCGTACTTGCTGTAACACGTCTCCCCGCTGTTCCCCGCCAGCACCGCCATGTCCGTGCAGGTGACACACAGCAGCCCTGCGGGCGGGGCTGGAGGTGAGGCCCCGCCCCTAGCCTCCGAGCCCCGCCCCGGACCTCGCCCCCAGCCACCTCACCTCCTTCGCTCACTGCCTGCACCGCCGCATCCAGAAACGGGGCCGGACTGCCATATGGGTCCAGGTCGATGACATCGAACCGCTCCGACACCTTCTGGTGCTGGTACATCAGCATCCTGGGAGCAAGAGCACAGGTTCTCAGGCCACCGAAGGCCTGGGCTCGGGTTCTGGCTAGGTCAGTGGCTTTCCTTCCTTGGGCTTCAGTTTGCCCCGCTGCCAACGACAGCAATTAATACCCCATGGGGATCCAGATTCACCGACATTCATTCGACCACTTTGTATTTTTAGATTTGGGCCACACTTGGGGCTTTCTCCTGACTGCTGTGCCCAAGGATCCCTCCTGGCACTGCTCTGAGAGCCCTTTGTATGTGTGTGTGTGTTGGGGGGGTATTGGAGGAAGACGAGAACCCAGGTCCCGCAAGGGCCGGCAAGCGCCCTAACCCCCTGCGCTATCTCCGGCCCCAGCGTCAACCATTTGAAGCTTGGAAACACGCTTGGCACCAGCGGTGTGACTTCACCTCCTGCGGGTTCCCGCTTGACCTTGGCACACGCTGGGTCGGAAATGAGGGGGTGTTCAGAGGCGCTGACTCCTGGCTAGTTGGATGCTACAGTCATTTCTGGGTGTCTGGGTGTGGGGGAGGGATCGTGCCTAGGTGTGGCAGGAACACTCCAGGTTGGTTGACTCCCCAACACTGATTCTCTCTCACGCTTTTTTGATGTTATGAGCTACACCTAAAACTTCAGGGCTTGGGGCTGGAGCGATAGCACAGTAGGTAGGGGGCGACAGACCCAGGTTCGAATCCCAGCATCCCATAAAGTCCCCTAAGCACCGCCAGGAGTAATTCCCGAGTGCAGAGCCAGGAGTAACCCCTGTGCATTGTCGGCTGTGATGAAAGAAAGAAAGAAAGA